TAGTTGACTGTGCACTCCATATCCAGGACGAAGCGGCTAGTTGACTGTGCTCTCCATATCCAGGACGAAGCGGCTAGTTGACCGTACACTCAATACACAAATAACCTGCACATCGGAGAGAGAAGTTCATGACGACGTTTCGGTCTGACTTGGACTATTGTATTGTTTCAGTCACGGTATTGTGACTGTTTCATAGCCATCCTAGTTCAGAGTTCGGAAATAATTTCACTAGCTCTTTCTCTCTGGTCAGTGACCATCAGCTGGTTCATCTAGCGGTCTTAACGGGATTAAGAGCCCTAACGGTTATAATGGACGGATCCATAACCTCTTTACCTTCTTCTTGGTCCAGTGTCTGACCTTCGTGTGGCGGTCAGTGATTCTGCCTCACTGGTTAAAAATTTCTAACTCCAGTCTTTGACTCGCTGAGACAAATGGTCAATTTTTTTTTTTGGCACAATTACTGCCCCTCTTCACCTGAGTGAACTTTCTATGGCAATAAATGGGTTAAAACACAGATACGATGGACAAATACAAATGCAGTATAATACGATCCTTATTGACGACGCATCGCCCACACACACACACGCACACACACACACGCACACACACACACACACACCACACACACACACACACACACACACACACACACACACACACACACACACACACACACACACACACATATATATATATATATATAATATATATATATATAATATATATATATATATATATATATATATATATATATAATTTAGTAATCCTGCACCTCCTCCTAATCTCCAAACTATGAATTCTCTGCATTATATTCACACCACACATTGTCCTCAGACATGGCATCTCCACTGCCTCCAGCCTTCTCCTTGTTGCAACATTAACCACCCATGCTTCACACCCATACTAGAGCGTTGGTATAACTATACTCTCAAACATTCGCCTCTTTGCTTTCATGGGTAATATAATTGTAAGATCACGATAATACTTTGAATATAATTGCAGTTAGGGCTAAACTGTTATATATAATGGGTTTTATAAACATCCGAAACAGATTTTCTTCGTGATAATCTAAGAAGAACATCGAACAGAAACGACAAAGCCGTGAAAAACATCTTTCTTAAATATCCAAACATTTTTATCTATCATCTAAACGTTTCGGAATATCAATCCCATCAACGGTAAAACAAGTTAGAATAATTACCAAATAGCTGGTCTATGTCATACAGAGATGTTCTATTAACAGTCATCAAATTCAAAGGATATTTAAGGGTCACTTGAAGAGAGGTTGAGTGTGGCAGACACATCGTTCTATCATTCATTCAGGAATGTTACAATAGGATATTTCAAACAGCATAACTGTGACAAGGTTGCATCAGCCGCCGCTGTCATCTGTGATGCTACTGTCTCATCCCACATCCCCAATGATATGAGAAAACTCATATCCTTCAGAGCCATATATGTCCTTCATGAACCCATGATGAGTCATGATAAACGGCTGTCGATGAGTAGGCAGGACATTCACTTGGATCGTAAGAAACAAGGGATATATCTGGCTCTGGTGGCTTGGGGGCTAAAGCTCTCTTCACACGGCGAGTGTCTGGGTTCGATTCCCAGCCAGGGTAGAAACATTAGGCGTGTTTCTTTACTCCTCTTGTCTATGCTCACAAATCAGTAAATAGAAACCTGGGTGTTAGTCGACTGGTGTGGGTCGCATCCTGGGACACTGACCTAATTTGCCCGAAATGCTCAGCATAACAAAGGGTTTTCTATATAGTAGTATGTCATTTATGTCAGCTAGGACTGTATACCTTGTACATGTACTTGTAGTAAATAATGATATTACTATTATCGTAATTAATAAACAGTTTAACCCTAACTGTAATATTCAAAGAGTTTTCATGATCTTACAATTATATTTTCAGTGAATATTTGTGGAAACAAAGCAATGATGTTCTGTATACAAAGATCTAATAAATCCAAGACAGATTTACTAAATTCAGCTGCACCTCATTTGGACCTTGAATAACACAGTCATCTGGGTAGTACCTCACTCAGGGACCTGATGTATCACAGAAGGGGAAAGTGTCTCACTCGTGGACCTGGTATAAGAGAGGGGGAAAGTGTCTCACTCATGGACCTGGTATAAGAGAGGGGGAAAGTGTCTCACTCGTGGACCTGGTATAAGAGAGGGGGAAAGTGTCTCACTCATGAACCTGGTACAACACAGAGGGGGAAAGTGTCTCACTCATGAACCTGGTACAACACAGGGGGGGAAAGTGTCTCACTCATAAACCCTGGAAACAACACAGAGGGGGAAAGTGTCTCACTCATGGACCTGGTATAACACAGAGGGGGAAAGTGTCTCACTCATGAACCTGGTACAACACAGAGGGGGAAAGTGTCTCACTCATGAACCTGGTACAACACAGAGGGGGAAAGTGTCTCACTCATGAACCTGGTACAACACAGAGGGGGAAAGTGTCTCACTCATGAACCTGGTACAACACAGAGGGGGAAAGTGTCTCACTCATGAACCTGGTACAACACAGAGGGGGAAAGTGTCTCACTCATGAACCTGGTATAAGAGAGGGGGAAAGTGTCTCACTCATGGACCTGGCATAACACAGAAGGGAAAAGTGTCTCACTCATGGACCTGGTACAACACAGAGGGGGAAAGTGTCTCACTCATGGACCTGGCATAACACAGAAGGGAAAAGTGTCTCACTCATGAACCTGGTACAACACAGAGGGGGAAAGTGTCTCACTCATGAACCTGGTACAACACAGAGGGGGAAAGTGTCTCACTCATGAACCTGGTACAACAGAGGGGGAAAGTGTCTCACTCATGAACCTGGTACAACACAGAGGGGGAAAGTGTCTCACTCATGAACCTGGTATAACACAGAGGGGGAAAGTGTCTCACTCATGAACCTGGTATAACACAGAGGGGGAAAGTGTCTCACTCATGAACCTGGCAAATATGTCTACTCAAAACTAAGCAGGAAAAGTGACTCGTCAGATAGTGGTCTGGTGCGTCATTATTGCTTAGCTAAAATTCTCAAAGATTTAATTATGAATACTTGTAATTTATTAAGTCCTGGAGTTGTTCAGATTTTAATCAATACTTTTTTAAATATATTTTTAATACAATATTCTCTATTTCGTTCAACCATTGATTTCTATTTAACTTGCCCTCATTGTTACTCAATCAGTAGGGCGATTAAAGATTTTCGCATGGTAAACAGAGTAGATGGGGAATGTAATTGGCAATGTGATACCGACATGATGTGGGAAAAATATACTAGTGTACAGTTCGTCCTAATTAGACTAATTAATCCTAATAAAAAGTGAAGAAGCCACAATGGCGATATGTTTCCTTTAAAAAGTCTTGAACTGTAAACAAGTGTCATCTTCCACAGAGGATTTGATTCCTGGTAAATTCCAATGCTATGTTTGCCACTACGAAACATAGATACAGACACCATGTACTGAGAGTTACTACGTAAATTATTTTAACTCTTTGACTGCCTTGAGTTCCTCCTTCCTGACCTTTAGGGTGTTGACATACAGCTCCTGGGATGTTAGACTTCCCGGTGGTGCTCTCCTATCCTAGAATTCTTGAGAGTTGAGCAACAGCTCCCGGGTATCTTGAATTTACCTACATCCCATCTGTTACTTGAGGTAGAGAAGTCACAATTGGCTTATTGAGTGTTTTGAGGTGGAAAGGGCAAGAGTTTGGGGATTCAGGGAATATCTTTTCGTATTTCGACCGAAATAAACAATTTTTAGCCAGCTCAGCTTAGTGAACTAACTCTGCCTAAAAATCATGACAGACATTTACAAAATTTAAAAAAATGTCGATTTTGCTGAGAATGTTACGAGTCACTAATTACTTTTTCGATAAAGCTTGTCAAACGGGGTGCCTTGATGCCAGTGAAGGGCTCTTGATCCCAAAAACAAGAGCTACCTACCTCTTCCTTGGATAAAGCCTAATTTCCTCCCGTTCTCTATGTAATCTTATGACCCGCTGAAGATTTTGGCGTAATTTTTGACTCGAGGGAAATCGGTGACATGACCCCAGTAAATATATAAAAATATATATTATAAAATATATATATATATATATATAAATATATATAATATATATATAAATATATATTAATATATTATATATTATTTTATATATTATATTTTTCAAAACAACCACTGTGGAAGAATAGAGAAATTCCAAGAGCTTTCGTGACTACTCACATTATCAAGGAACTATGAAAGTAAAGCATCCAAGGAAGCTATATAAGGGGTCTGGCCAACACCTCACTATCAGATCCCACAACAGTTAAACACCTAATGCGCGCCGACCCAACTGGACAGGTCTTTGCACAACTCACCAACAAACTATTCTACCCAAGAAAATTTTAAAAATTATTATTTGTCCAGTGTATTATTAAATTCTTCCCAAATTCTCTTAATTATAAATAGATCTAATTTATATAAACCAAAGGAAATATTCATATTATTCCTTTGGTTTATATAAATTAGATCCATTTATAATTAATAGAATTTGGGAAGAATTTAATAATACACTGGACAAATAACAATTTTTAATTTTTTTTGGGGTAGAATAGTTTGTTGGTGAGTTGTGCAAAGGACCTGTCCAGTTGGGTCGGCGCGCGTCACGTGTTTAACCGTTGTGGGATCTGATAGTGAGGTGTTGGCCAGACCCCCTTATATAGCTTCCTTGGATGCTTCACTTTCATAGTTCCTTGATAATGTGAGTAGTCACGAAAGCGCTTGGAATTTCTCTATTCTTTCACAGTGTTTTTTTGCATATTCTGAAATCACCTGTTTACTGTGATCTTATTGCATATATATATATATATATATATATATATATATATATATATATATATATATATATATATATATATATATATATATATATATATATATATAAAACAAAATTAAAGTTAAGAATAAGTATTAATTAAGTTACAGGTTACAGATATGATGCCACTGAGTCTATGTCTGATGGTGATGATGGTGGTGATAGTGGCGCCACCAGCAGCCACTCAGGTCATCTTCGGAGGTCGGTGTCCCGTTCAGAACGTTGTCCAGAACTTTAACGCAGCCGGGGTGAGTACAGCCGTGTTTATTCGTCTGTGTTAGTGGAGGTCCAGTACCAGCCTCCTGGGTGAGTACAGCCGTGTTGACTCGTCTAATGTGTCAGTGGAGGTCAAGCTCCAGCTCTTGAGATTCCACCCTCCGTTCATTAGATACTCATTTACTCACTGGTCTTGATAGAACTATATATATTTTACACTACGTGATGCACTACGTTAAATGTCTTCTCACAGTTTAGTAATATAGTCTGCCAGTCATCTTCATCCTTGTCTTCCTCCATCCTATCATAAAACAATATTATTCAAGCATAGATTTTTTTTTCGATAAACTTTCTTCATTGTACTGCTCTTGCTGCAATTTTTTTTAAATGGTATATAATACTGCAACATTAACACCACTCTGAAGGAGGGGTGTTAATGTTGCAGTTTAAAAGCTGTAGTGTAAAGCACCCTTCTGGCAAGACAGTGATGGAGTGAATGACGGTGAAAGTTTTTCTTTTTCGGGCCACCCTGCCTTGGTGGGAATCGGCCAGTGTGATAATAAATAAAAATAATACTGATAAATTGAAGACCTATTACATTATATTTACTTGGCTAGCACACCTGTTGCCTCTGTAACTGACTGAAGAAGTCTACTGTGTAGGCGAAACGTTTCAATCAACAATAAAAATACCCAACTGTTGCACAACTGTCTTACTCTTCAATTTTTTTTTTTTAGGCAGTTTATGTTTAGTGTTCCCGTCCATTAATGAACACTGAGGGACGATGTAATACTTTAATAAACTTTGCACTAAACTTTTATTCTGTTAAGAGTCACTTTTTGTAAATTATTTTGGGTTGCTCCTCGTAGTACACCTTCCTACCCCAGTCTTGAAGTATACAAGTGCCCACTGGAGGGTGGCACCGTACAGGTTTAGCAAGCACTGATTTCTAACTTATTAATATCAATGAGTCTGGCTTGGAATTTAGGATTTCTTGTAGATCTTTTATTAACATTTACACTACACTGTGTTTTATACTACACTGTGTTTTATACTACTGTGTTTTATACTACACTGTGTTTTATACTACACTGTGTTTTATACTACACTGTGTTTTATACTACACTGTGTTTTATACTACACTGTGTTTTATACTACACTGTGTTTTATACTACACTGTGTTTTATACTACACTGTGTTTTTCGTTACACTGTTTTACTCTACACTGTTTTACACTGTGTTTTACACTGTGTTTTACACTGTGTTTTACACTATATTGCGCTTTACAATACACTGTGTTATGCGCTACACTGACTTTTAGTTATCAGGCTGCAATCTCATTTACCATATTCTTCCTCCTTTGATACTTGTGAAGGTCTCTTGATCCAAGAAAGTGCATCGAAAACAAGATACCAGACATACTAAGCAAATTTCCTAAATCTGGTTGCAACAGATAGCTGAACTGTAGATATAAATCCAGATGTATTTCTGTTAACTCTCTTGGGGCCTAGTTCCTAGGCCTATTGTGTATCCATGTGCCTTTGCACTACCATCCACAGGATGGTTATGGGGAGCTCAATAAACCAGCCACTTCGCCAACAAAATAAAAAATCTTCTACAGCAAAGGTTGTTGTATTATTCTTAAAAGATGACCATTGTACACTGATGATAATCTTCAGTATAGACGGTTATATCTTCTTCGAACCTTAAATAAATGTCTTGAACAGTCGTTTAGACTAGTAGTTCTTTGAGGGGGCGTTCGCCCCTCTAGGGGGGCGTTAGTAATTTCAATCGGGAGTGTCACTACAGAGCAAAAAATAGGGAATATGTTTGTGTTTTTGCTCTTTAAACAGATTCTTTTCAGTAGTTGAAAATAATAGCATTAACAAAGACAATAAGTTTCTCAATTTTCCTATTTAAGATATTTTTTTTTATATAATTTTTAAATTTAGAACTTTATATGAAGGAAGAAGATGGAGGATCAGAGAAGAGGACCAACTGTGGTAGGTGGCGCCACTTGAAATAGCTTAAGAACCACTGCTTTAGATAAGTATTTTTTCTTGGGCTACTTTACCTCTGTGTTTGTGTTCTCAGAGCGAGTCTTGATGATGGAGTTTTGAATTAAGGAATTACCGCAACCCTCGTCTTCCTCTACCAACCCTGACTATCTTCTAATGTCCAGATTCACTGAATGGCACGTACACACACTGACTCACTGAATGGCATGTACACACACTGACTCACTGAATGGCATGTACACACACTGACTCACTGAATGGCATGTACACACACTGACTCACTGAATGGCATGTACACACACTGACTCACTGAATGGCATGTACACACACTGACTCACTGAATGGCATGTACACACACTGACTCACTGAATGGCATGTACACACACTGACTCACTGAATGGCATGTACACACGCACTGACTCACTGAATGGCATGTACACACACTGACTGAATGGCATGTACACACACTGACTCACTGAATGGCATGTACACACACTGACTCACTGAATGGCATGTACACACACTGACTCACTGAATGGCACGTACACACACTGACTCACTGAATGGCATGTACACACACTGACTCACTGAATGGCACGTACACAAAACTGACTCACTGAATGGCATGTACACACACTGACTCACTGAATGGCATGTACACACACTGACTCACTGAATGGCATGTACACACACTGACTCACTGAATGGCATGTACACACACTGACTCACTGAATGGCAAGTACACACGCACTGACTCACTGAATGGCAGGTACACACGCACTGACTCACTGAATGGCAAGTACACACGCACTGACTCACTGAATGGCAAGTACACACGCACTGACTCACTGAATGGCAAGTACACACGCACTGACTCACTGAATGGCAAGTACACACGCACTGACTCACTGAATGGCAAGTACACACGCACTGACTCACTGAATGGCAAGTACACACGCACTGACTCACTGAATGGCATGTACACACACTGACTCACTGAATGGCAGGTACACACACTGACTCACTGAATGGCAGGTACACACACTGACTCACTGAATGTCATGTAGACACACTGACTCACTGAATGGCAGGTACACACACTGACTGAATGGCATGTACACACACTGACTCACTGAATGGCATGTACACACACTGACTGAATGGCATGTACACACACACTGACTCACTGAATGGTAGCGCTCAAGTTCTTTTAAGGGAGAGAAGTGAGTTCTTAGTTCTTCCCCTCTTCCCAGGTGACGAGATATTTCATGGATCGCCTCAAAATAGTACAATTTCTGTCTACAGTAGTTAATCTACATTAATTTTCTGATAGGTTGTTACAAATCGTTTCCTCCCAGGCCATGAGTTCATTTCCCCGCCTCACAGCAGCCTGTTTCAGCAACCGTAACAAAGTAAAGCGAGTCTCTGGTCAGATTCATTTCAAAATATTACAATCAGTCTATGACAAGGATGAGAGAAAATATATAAACTTTAGTTAAATCTATGAGATATGAATGTACAGTAGAATAATCAGACGATGTTTTTCATATTCATAGATGTCTAGGTATATCATTGTTACCTTTAACTAGACAGTTATGCGAGAGAGCAGATGGAAGGACTCTAACAGTAGCAGATTTGTGCGCTGGGAAGATAAGACTGATCAGAAGCCAGAATATCAATGGCTTGAGACATCCATAACTTCAGTGCAGATCAACAACTGTGTGGAGTAACAGGAGGCGTGTCAGAGACTAGAATGAAGACTGGCTTGCTCTGGTAAAATCTTTTATCTTCCCTCCCCTGTGCGTTCACCACATATTATTTTTTTTTCTTACCTTCCTGGGAAGTCCCTAAGAGTAATGTTTCTCTCTCCTTCCGTACCTGAAAAATCACATACTCTATGAACTTCTGTTCTGTTTTTCCTTCAACACTTCCAGTCACACACATGCAGCAGCAGAGTACACTAATGGCTTCAAATCCCCGCAGGGAGTATAGGTATGCACATTTTTTCCCAAATAAATTAATTCAGAGATACTACAGTCAGCCAGCACATTCTCAGTGGAGATGTATGCATTACTTACCACTCTCATAAATAATACAACTAGGCCCAACCTTTCCTACGTTATTTGAGTCTCACTCAGAACCTTAGGAGCTATTATGAAATTTGACTCCCGATATGTACAAACCTTTGTTACAGCGTGTTTCCAGCAAGCACAAAAGCACATTTTTTTTTTTGCTGGGTCTTTAGATGCACTGATGTTAAGAGTAACGAACATGTAGACTCGGCCTCTCGATCCCGTCATTCACAATTAACGATCTTCCACAGGAAAAAGTCCCACTTTTTTGGCAGCAGCGTTGATCCGAGTTAAAACACAACAGTCGTTCTCCATTAAACCACAACAAGGTACATGAATGTCTTCATTCCAACATTGTCGTTTGTGGGGAAACTATCATCGGACCAGTGGCGTGCAGAGGTCTGGTGATGCCCGGGGCCAACTCCTTGATTGTATGCCTCAAATCACTATCTTATTTACCTTTCTAATTGGATCCCCCCCTCCCCCATTTGGATGCCCGGAGCCACCGCCCCATCGCCCCCCCCCCATCCTCTGCACGCCACTGCATCGGACGAATACAAATCCATCAAACACGCCTAAAACCTGGATACCTCAGAGACACCAGGGACCTTTCTGTGAAGACTGTCAGGCTATACTGTCAATCCAACATTTATCAGTAAACTGTCCAATGTATCATAGAGCAGAATATATTTTCAACAGCTAGAACAACACTCGCTGTTTATTTTCACTGAAACAGACCTTTTACGACATTTTTATTTTATTTCACACATTTTCTAACCCCAAACCCCATTAGCTCCCGAAAAGTTTAGATGTACACCACCGCAGATGTGTATAACTTGTCAGGGTTTATCAAGTATTATTTTAATAGATTTTCAAGGACTAGAATAATTATATTTCCAGCAGGCTACCACTGGAAAGACAGCTATGGAAAGAGTAATGATGAACGTGTCTTCTTTGGGTCACTCCACTTTGGTGGCACAACAGCCAGTATATTGAAGTGCCTAAGCAAATATATCCGTTAATTTTTTTTTTTGCAGTACCTGGGTAAATGGTATGAAATCGAGAAATACTTCACCATCTTCGAGGTGGGAGGCCGGTGCATCACTGCCACCTACTACGACCTGGGCACCATGATCGGGGTCCTCAACCAGCAGACTTCTGTGTAAGTAAATCTTACTAGCATGTTCGAATAAACAAAAATAATATAAAGAAGAAGAAAAAGGCACAATACCATGACTGGAACAACACAAATATTCTACAATTCAATTCAATTCAAAGTTTATTCTCTATAAGTATTACAATGCTGAGTTTACAGAATTTGGTTATTGTGTGGTTTACATGTAGTAAAATAATAATTACAGAGTGTACCACTAGAAAGAAACTTGTGGCGACATTTTGGTCAGACTTGGATTAGTTAATGGTCAGAGTCGGAGCGAAAACGTCTTCATAAGTTTCTTTCTCCTACGTGCGGGTTATTTGTGTAAAACAATAATAACATTTTCTCCATGGGGAAGTGGAACAAAATTCTTCCTTTATAAGTCATGGGTGTAGTAAGAGGCGACTAAAATGCCGGGAGCAAGGGGCTGGTAACTCCTTCTCCTGTATACCTTAATAAATTTAAAATGAGAAGCTTTCGTTTTACTTTTTAGGTCACACTTCCTCGGTGGGATGCTGCTGGTGCGTTGAAAAAATATCAGCATTTTGCTACTGTACTGCACTCATTTGTTTGCGCGCGCGCACACACACACACACACACACACACAACACACACACACACACACACACACCACACACACACACACACACACACACACACACACACACACACACACACACACATATGCTTGCAGAGGTCAGATTCCAGCTCCTGGACCTGCCTCTTAATTGGCTTTTACCGGGTTCACTCCCTCCTATATCTACAGTACATTCAGCGTCTGCCTACAGGAAGTCTCACTATATTGACAAGGTCAAGATAATTAAAAGTGCCATGAGCTTTGTCTGAACAAGAGGCTATAACCATAAACCTGGGAGGGTTAATAACCCAAGACAACCAAAGAAAACCAAGCAGTTTGGCTCATCTTCGTTGGGATGTTTTTCTACCATTGTACGAGACCAACATCGTTCAACTAATGCTCAAATATCTGTTTAATCCTACACTATGAGGGGCATCAAGTGTTAGGAAACTTGCCCATATATTTGTTTTCCGGGAAATAATCTGGATTCAGAGACGTAAACTGAAATTTGTTTAGCGTGATTTTTAATGGAAAAAAGTCACACTACACATAAAATTTGCAGATGTGAGGCTACATTTATGAATTTCATTTTCAGTCATCATCGGATTCGGAGGAATCTTTTCTGAACCTTTTAACTACACCGCCTGCCACGGGTTTTAGAAATTATTGGAGACATTCCGGAATGCCGGGAATGAGTTCAGCAACTTTGGTCATAGGGCAAGTGCTGTCGAGAAATGGTATTACCAGCTAAGTTTAAAGAGTTTGTACTTAACATAGAAAGACAGCTCTTCGCCTACACAGCCGCCCCTGCAGACGAGGTCTTGAGAAGCTGTCGAAGTCATCTCTCACGGGCTGTAAATGAGTTATAATTTGTAAGATTATAAATTACCCCTAGGGGGTGTTATGTCAGCATATTTCATTCACTGATTGCTGACAAACTTACTTGTGTGGACTCAAAAGTCCGCCCCTTACTGCCGACTATAGGTTGATTACAAACTCCTTGCGACTCAAGAACTGCGCAGTCCCCCGTACTACAAGAAATTCGTAACCTACCTTGCTCTTGTAGCATGAGCTATGGTGTTCTTCACACCTTCGACAGATATCGGTGACTTGATAGAAGCTGAAGTGTCCTTGGATGTCCACGTCTTCCATAGTCTAGGAATACGCACACTGGTACACTATGTTTCACAAGATTTGTCTTTATTGTTCACAATCTTATCACTAAAGAAGCTGATCACACTTCTCTTAAGTGTTTATTGTGTTTTATGAGACACTTTGTTCACACTAACGCACAGATCGTTCTTTGTTGGTTATCCTGGCGTCAGTGCCACTCTCAGTAGAGTCAAAAGTAATCTGAAGACGCAACAGCGCCCCACGCCCTCACTGCCCCCTGCACAAAGGAAAAGCTGACCTAGTACCTTTGCTTCCTTGCCACTTCCTCGATGAAGCAAAGCAGAATGTTTGTTTCTTGCTGTCTTAAGCATAGACAACAATGTACACTATCTTTACTATGGTAATAAAGTGGGAGCAGGATTTTTCTTAATTGTCCTGCTAAGGTAAGAGATGTACTGACTCTTATTAAACTACACTCTGCAACACTGGTGCAAGGAGCAGCGGTCGCTTGACCACGTTGCATAGTCGTACTGCATCTGCGATCAATTACTCACTGTAGCAGTAAACAAGATATTTGCCCCTTCTGAGAGGGCTGGGCCCCTCAGGGCTGAAAGGGGCTGAAGGGGCTGAAGGGGGCTGAATGGAGCTGATACCCCCCTCCTGGAGAAAATTTCTCCACAAGTGCCCTTACCAGTTGCTTCAAGAATCTGGTACTAGTTATCGTACACACGCATTAAAAGTTTGAAGCCGATTGGAGGAGGCCTCGAGTCATGAGCGAAATAAAAACGAAAAGTAGGAGGAAAAAAATGCTCAGGCAAATACACTTCAAACTCCTCTTCCAGAACGCCTAATATTCAGGTCTTCACTCACACACTTACTTTCGTTCATTGTATAAGGTTCCTATCGACTGAATTTATTTAATGGTGCTACCACCTGTCCTTGTAAATTGCTTATATCCTGGCACTCAATCAGTATGCTGTCGAAGCATCAGTTATTAATAAATGGTACGTAAATTGCTGTAATACTTGCCTAAACCATTTGTCCCCATGAACTTGCTAATTTTTTCCTCCTACAGCCTTCTGTTTATATTTAATGTGCTGGTTCTTTTTTAATTTGTGCTCTATTGAACTGTTTACTGATACTGTTCGATCAAAATGTAGTAAAATATATACAAATATGTTATTTTAACGGTTTATTGTTTCATAGTGTGCTTTCTGCTTCTGGTTTGCTTATCCAACATTGTTGGTGATAATGTGTTATTTTAATGTTGCTATAATTTGTAAGTGTTTATGTTTAAGATGGTTTAACCTAACTTTCAACATATGTTTACTTACCTAAGTTTAATGTTAGAGGGTAATCGCTCAACTTATTAAGTACGGAATATTCAATAGGAGTAATTTCAAGTATTATCTCGTGATGTAACAATTTCAATTATAACCTGCTTAATTGCACTAAAATTAATGACGTTTCGGTCTAACTTTGACTGTTCAAGCTAGCTTACAATCAGAACTTCAAGTGGTGTATGCTCAAGTGCGGGTTATTTAATGTGCCAATAAGAGTGTTATATAATGGTGATGAATGAGTGTTTTCAAGTGGTGTTATGTTTCAAGTGGTGTTATATTTCAAGTGGTGTTATGTTTCAAGTGGTGTTATGCTTCAAGTGGTGTTATGCTTCAAGTGGTGTTATGCTTCAAGTGGTGTTATGTTCAAGTGGTGTTATTTTCAAGTGGTGTTATGTTTCAAGTGGTGTTATATTTTCAAGTGGTGTTATGTTTCAAGTGGTGTTATGTTTCAAGTGGTGTTATATTTCAAGTGGTGTTATGTTTCAAGTGGTGTTATGCTTCAAGTGGTGTTATGTTTCAAGTGGTGTTATGTTTCAAGTGGTGTTATATTTCAAGTGGTGTTATGTTTCAAGTGTGTTATATTTCAAGTGGTGTTATATTTCAAGTGGTGTTATGTTCAAGTGGTGTTATGCTTCAATTGGTGTTATATTTCAAGTGGTGTTATATTTCAAGTGGTGTTATTTCAAGTGGTGTTATGTTTCAAGTGGTGTTATGCTTCAAGTGTGTTATATTTCAAGTGGTGTTATGTTTCAAGTGATGTTATGTAATTTTTTCAAGTGGTGTTATGTTTCAAGTGGTGTTATGTTTCAAGTGGTGTTATGTTTCAAGTGATGTTATATTTCAAGTGGTGTTATGTTTCAAGTGGTGTTATGTTTCAAGTGGTGTTATATTTCAAGTGGTGTTATGTTTCAAGTGATGTTATATTTCAAGTGGTGTTATGTTTCAAGTGGTTTATGTTTCAAGTGGTGTTATGCTTCAAGTGGTGCTATGCTTCAAGTGGTGTTATGTTTCAGGTTTGGCAACAAAGTGACCAGTATACAGGGTCAAGCGCAGTTTGTCAACCCAGCCAGCCGCGAGGCCAAGCTCTCTGTCACGTTTGGTAACTCAAGTAAGTAACAGTAACACCCCAGTAACTCTTATTTTGGTGTAGAAAATAAAATGTTACACTGTTATTTTTTACTGTGACAACGTAAACAAAATGAATAAATTATTTCCTCTTCTATAATAAAACTGTGTATACTTGATAAACATTGAACTGTATTAAAAGAATGATAGTGAAGTATTCACCAGTGTATTTATCTGTATGTATGTTGTATGGTATACAATACCATACAACATACATAGAATTAGACTTATGTGTAACATCTGGGTATCTTGAAGACGCTTCAGCATCCAGCCACTGAATGATGCAACGTTTACAATAAACATACCCAGACGTTGCAATGTGTCTAATTCATTATATCTGTGTGTGTGTGTGTGTGTGTGTGTGTGTGTGTGTGTGTGTGTGTGTGTGTGTGTGTGTGTGTGTGTGTACAGCGAGGACACTTTAAACCCTGTTTCATGAATTGAATTATTCTTAACTGGCGGTGCACTGATAAAAATACAGTTTGAATGACCTTCAGTTAGTCGACTGATCTTAAACTTAACAAACCAAGCAGCCAAGAATTCAGAAACCTGAGGACAATTTTCATCTCTTGACAGTATTTGGGATGCTGAGTGCAGGCAATAATGGCAACTACTGGGTGCTCGACACTGACTATTTTAACTATGCCATCGTCTGGGCCTGTCAAGACATCACATTCGCCAACGCACGTGAGTATGCAGCCTCATATGCTTATATGTGGATACCTATGTTTGAGGTGTAAATGCGAAAACACAGTTTCATACATGTGTGTGTGTAGGCTACTATTTTTATTGGATATATAATGTAGCCTCATAAAAATGTATGTAAAATAAGATAACATTCATTCGGATTTTTAACCAGGAGTGTTAGCCACCCAAGATAACACAAAAAATCAGTGTGTCATTGAGGACTGTCCGTCTTATTTCCGTTGGGGTCTTTTAATCTTGTCCCCCAGGATGCCATCCACACCAGTCGAATAACACCCAGGTACCTACTGACTGCTAGGTGATCGGGGACAGCAGGTGTAAGACAACACGTCCATCATTTCCACTCTTGCTGGACATTGAGCCACGGACACAGTGTGTGAGGCGAGGGCGTTGCCACTAAGTTTATGTTTAATGTATGTACTTGTTAATGCAGCTTAATATCCATATGTATGTGCAGGTACCCATGTTTAATGTAAGTAGCAGGTATATATGGTAAACATGTACACTTGGGTATGTATCTCCATACATGTGTGTAAATTATAGTAATCAAGAGGCTGTCCAGAGCTGTAGTAACGGCATTGTTGACATGTCAACAAGGCACTTGATGCATTGTTGACATGTTTAAAGCACGTGATGCAGAAAATATTGGCATAATTAAAGTCACATAATATCGACATGTTTATATGCACGAAATGCAGACTGCACTGACTTGTATGAAGGAACGTAATTCAAAGGTAACCTTAGGGTAGAGTTCAGTCAGCAACCATGAAAAACTCTTAACCATTATAATGATCTCGGTGGCAGGAGAGTCGACCAATAAACTTGTCTCAAGACTACAATAATTTGAGACGATGATTGTTTTGAGTTGGGATTTCTGTGACTTGTCAGCCTGTACCAGCTTACAAAACATTTTAAAGGGAACCACTGCCACTCCTCCCTTCAAACCAAGAGACGACTAGGTAATTAGGAAGTAGTGAAATTGTGGCACGAATAGCAGACGGAGGAACTTCCAGCACTTGTGCCGAGTGATTCTTATGGGCTTAGCTCTCTACTTTAATATAAATACCTCTACAAGCCACAGATGTCGGGCCCTTCTTCAATCACAGCCTTCTAGAACCAGTCATCATTTTTCATTTTTCCTGCATTTTTCGCGTTCATTAAATAACTCAAAGCAAAACAAATCACTGAAAAATGGTTCACTTGTATAGGTTTTTCCATACCTCTTCATACCTTGCCTGTCTTTGACCTACAAGTTTACACTACCTGGAAGTTTGTTATTCTCCACCGTCTCTGGGACTGCGAGGCCAGTAATTTTTTTTTTTACAGTAACTTCTGAGTAGCAAGTCATTAAAGCTCGTGATAAGACAAAGAAGAATAAGGCACAATTCCGTGACTGGAACAATATACAAAGAGCCCGCACATAGAAGCTTACGACGACGTTCCGGTCCGACTTGGACTATTTACAAAGTTGCCGTAGTCTTCTCTTCTATGTGCGGGCTATTTGTGTAAATAAGACAAATCTGTGCCACTTGGTATAGCCATAAAGAGAAATGCAGTTTTAAGGGATGGAAAAGAAACACTCAGACGAAGGATATTACACGTTCAGAGGTACGTTCATACAAGTGACAGGCAGAACATGTGTTGGCGTGACGAATTACCATATGGCATCACATTTATTGCTATATCAGTAAACTTTATGGCAAGAGATTGACGCATGTATGCGTCATTATACTATTCACTGTAGTGTTTGTCCTGAAAAAAAAAATTTATGCAACGAAACAGTTAAAACTGTTTTAATAAGAATACAAAACTATATTAGATTGTTATTCACCTAGTGAATAAAGTATTGGTGTGTAATAACAACCAATAAGAAATAAGTGCTATTGACTGGATCAAGATGTCAGTCAAGCTATTGACTGGATCAAGATGTCAGTCAAGCTATTGACTGGATCAAGATGTCAGTCAAACTATTGACTGGATCAAGATGTCAGTCAAGGTGTACTCAGGATAACATCCATGTAACGTAAACATCAACAAATAAGTGTTATATATGAATATTTAGCATAGAATTTTTTTTATTTCTGTGTAAAAAACACAAGTTATGAGCTCAAAATTTGATGTAAGTGAACCACATAGAGTTCACTACTTATATTCTAAATATTTTCCCACTTTTACATTATTCCTACAAATACACTAATAAAGTAAAAATATTGCCTCTGAAATATTCATTATAATTCAACATTTCCAGTGTTGAATATGCAATCAAATGTAAAGATCTAATAACCTTCTTGTGAATCTATGAGAGTAAATAGAAGAATAATTTTAGGAAGGGACGCATCTCTCCTATTTTAAGATATGTTCCGCAGGTTAGGTTAGGCAAGATTATCCTGGAAACACTTGTTTCCTGGCATAGTCTTGGGCGTATGGTGATCCTTCACTGAGGTATGAGTCATCTGACTGAGACCTTCATCTGGCTTACCGGTCCACTCCTGAAAAATTAGATAAATATCTGTAAATGTTTTAGTAAACATTGTATTTCCAAAAATGATGTTGATGGATAAGTTGATATTGATGCCTATACAGTCACTGTATCTGTATGGTTTTAATTCTGCGTTCATTAATAGGAAAATGATCACTAAATTTTGATGAATAAGACACATTAGTAGCACCTGGGTAGCCTTATTCTGAAAGATTTATCTGTTCAGTACAGAGGTTTATTGAAAGCGTTGAAACTAGGGCAGTAGAAAACGAGGTAATCATTCTCTCAGTCTAGATGAACGTGTTTATCGCAGTCTGGATGAATCTGAAATATAGGCAGGAAAATGGTCAATGTAAGGAGTCAGATGAGGTGGAGCATCAGAAGGCAGAGTGACCGTGGTGGACCCACTGGCGGAATTACGTCATGTCTAAGAGTTTGACCAGAGGTTAGAAAACCTGCCTACGCTTCAGATTCATCAAGACTATAGTGGTGACTACCGTCATCTAGGCTGAGGAACTGATTTCCTCTTCTAACTGATCCAGTTTCAACACCTTCAGTTAACCTTTGTATTATATGATAAAGCCACAACAAAGATTCCCAGGTATTGTACATGTCATATAAATCATTTTGCCGTTATTGTATATTATTACAACTATCATTAATATTTATTACATTTTCTTAGAAAATTGGATAATTTTCCACTTGAAATATTAAGCCTAAATATCGCTGCTGGATATCTCCGATATAATGGTAATGTTTATTAATTGTACAACTTCTTCGACACAAACTATATGTATAAAGTTATTTTATTAAAAAAAATTGTTGCAGAGTTCCTGTGGATATTGATGCGACAACAGAAGCCAGATCCTCAGCTGTTGTATTATGTGAAGACCGTTATCAGACAGCGCGGCCTTGATGTCTCCAGACTTCAAGTTACTGATCAAACTAACTGTTTCTAAACACTTATGTGTTTGGTTTTATTACAATAATGGTAAACAATACTGACGAGATGAGGAACTAGATAGTTAGATGTTCTGTATTCTCCTCTATGTTTGTGAGAGTTCTGGGTATGTGTAGCCCAGAGTTCATTGAGGAAGTATTGAAGATTTATAAAATAGTATATGATCTAAATTTTTTTAAAATTGCCATAAGTGCATTTTGGAATTCAAAAAAGGACAAAGAAATATATTGAGTCAATAATATGTTGGTTCAACCTTTCTATGGAAACTTTTTGATATACCTTCTCTAAGAATTTCAATATCAAAGTTGTATTTAAAAATTCACGATACAGTAAAATAAGATTTGATTGAAAATTCCCCCAAAATGCTAATGGCTGTTCAAGATTCTTGAAAAAATACAATAAAGTTTATTACGGTCAAACTGAAAAAGTCTTGAACTAAGATTACAACATAAAAACAGCACCACAACTGGACCAATGTCTAATGCTTTATTTATTATGTAAGATGGTTAGGTTAGGTTAGGTTAGGTTAGGTTAGGTTAGGTTAGGTTAGGTTAGGTAAGGTTCGTCAGGAAACAGGACAAATGTTTCCTGACGCGGGTGTTAGTCAGTTGATGACCCGCCTTTGGAGCTTTTGGTCATCTGACCGAGGCCTTCCGCTGGCTTACCGGTTCACCCCTTTAAAAATTATGGTCATGTAGAACCATTTTTGTAGTAATTATGTAAGATTTCAACAACCCAAATGATGTTGAAAATACCGAGAAGTTTATATCAAGCGAGTCCATGGTTGAACAGAATATAACTGAATCGAACTTCACGAAAAATAGTACTCATTGTAACATTAATTTAAGTTCTGGGTTGTATAAATTAGATTAATTTATAATGAGTAGAATTTGTGATGATTTTACACTATGCCTGACAGGTCAGTCCTAACAAAATTATACTTGATCTGACTAAATCTTAGCTACACTGCCAGGCTCAGAGATCATGTGTGACGTTATATATGAGATTATATTTCACTTATATAAGTCTTTGATGTCCTAGAATTTTTACTATTCTTTGACAATGTGAGAAAACACGAAAGCTTTTAGAACTGTACTATTTTTTTCGCTGATCTTGTGTGTTGTGTGTGTGTGTGTGTGTGTGTGTGTGTGTGTGTGTGTGTGTGTGTGTATTTGTATGTGCATATGTATGTATGCGTATATTTATGTTTATATATGTATGTGTATATGTAGTATGTGTATGTATGTATTTATTTTATGTATATGTACTTGTATGTATATTCTTCCTTCAACGCACGGTCGTATCCCACTGTGGCAGGGTGACCCACTGTGGCAGGGTGACCCACTGTGGCAGGGTGACCCACCAAGGCAGGGTGACCCACCAAGGCAGGGTGACCCACTGTGGCAGGGTGACCCACTGTGGCAGGGTGACCCACTGTGGCAGGGTGACCCACTGTGGCAGGGTGACCCACTGTGGCAGGGTGACCCACCAAGGCAGGGTGACCCACCGTGGCAGGGTGACCCACTGTGGCAGGGTGACCCACCAAGGCAGGGTGACCCACCAAGGCAGGGTGACCCACCAAGGCAGGGTGACCCACCAAGGCAGGGTGACCCACCAAGACAGGGTGACCCACCAAGGCAGGGTGACCCACCAAGGCAGGGTGACCCACCAAGGCAGGGTGACCCACCAAGACAGGGTGACCCAAAAAGAAACACGAAAGTTTCTCTTTTTAACTTAAGTAATGTATACAGAAGAGGAGTTATTAGCTTCTTGCTCCCGACATTTTAGTCGCCTCTTACGACGCTCATGACTTACGGAGGAAGAATTCTGTTCCACTTCCCTATGAAGAATGTATGTATATAATACTCTCTGTAATACTGTGAGTAGATAATTCTTATTTTAAGAAGCGACAATCAAATATAAACATTAATGATTTAGATAACTTGTTCATATATATAATGTTGAACGACATTAACGTCTTGAGATTATAAATAATAAGAATAATAATAACAATTTTAAATAATAATAATAATAATAATAATAATAATAATAATAATAATAATAATAATAATAATAATAATTTTATATCGGCCATTAATAGCAAACTGTGTTCTACTGTAGCTCAATGAATCATTTTTATAATTTGTCAATAATTTTGATGCAGTTTCTTGGTTCACACAATTATTCAGGTTGCATTAACATCATCATTTAAAAATCAAACTTTATTTGAAACGAAATATGAAGCAAATTTTATTTCATGTATTTTTGCTATATTGTATACCCCTATTGACCCTTGTCAGTTTAGCGCTCTCTTTGATTGTAATAATAATGTATACCCCTATTAAAATCTTTACTTGTTCACAATCCTCAATATTTCACTGTAGATGTAATAATTTTGCTGTCGACTGTAGCTCATTGTTGTGCCTTTAGATTAGGATGACAGAGCAAGTCCTTCCACCGGTTGCCCCTGTTTACCTTATTTACCTAACAGTACGTAGGTACCCAGGTGATAATCGTCTATCGAGAGGAGCATCTTGGTAGGCAGAGTGGTGCTAGTATACCTTAAAGCAGATTTTGTTTACTTTTTCATAAAGTACCTTAATTTACAAATAAAATTACCAGAACCTTAACCTAGAGTTAAATTTTAATGATGCAACTAGTAATAAAACATAATTTGTGATGTCATATCTTGGGTGAGTAAGACTGCTTTTCTTACTCACAATATGATAAGTAACGAGAAATAAGCCAGTGAGGACACCATCTCGCCTCACTACAAAATATTTGAAACTTAATGCAATTCCACAATTCCACTTAACTAGTAACATACAGATCGGTCTGATGCAGGATAACAAAATTAAAGATTGGAAAAGTGAATAAATTATTACACATTACAATTTATTAATGTTTAATTAATATACTTGGTCAAAGTGAAGAGGATTTGGTGGTAAGATAACTTGAGAAGATAAAAGATAATACATTTATCTGACGAACTAAATATGTAATTACAGTATAAAATAGTCCTTAGTAGATTGCTCGTAAAAGACCAGCCAGACTACTGGCACCAGGTCCAAAGATGTCACACACAGCTTCAGTTGTGTCCCTGACAGCGTGGTCACAAAGGCCTCACAAAGCCTCCAGCTCGTCCCGACCAAGGATTCTCATTAAATCCTCTTATAAAAGCTTCCACACCCCCATAACTTCTGGCTAGAGGTCAGCTGCCACGGGCACATTCACCACAAGGTCTCCAAATAGACTCAAGTTTCGTGACAGAACTAGGGCGTGAAGACATTGGGGAAATTGACACTAGATACTACGGTTTTATTTAGAAACCTTAGACCCAGTCTCAGGTTTTTATATATCTGCTCTCCCATTTCTCATATAAAAAGAATATTTGAGTGTCTGCATGAACCTGACGGGTTTAGCTCTTAGTTATGATTATAATAATAGAGGAGAGACAATCTCAACATATCACAATGCTAATATATGTAATATTTACATTTACAGTTAGAAGAGTTGCACCAATATAATGTTTTAAGAAATTTACAAGAATTGAAAGAATTACTTTTGTTAAGCTGTTTATTAGAGAAATAATGAGTGTTAGAATATGTTTATTGTTGGATTAAAGTTTTATATGAAAAATAATTAAAAATGAGTAATTTTTGCAGTTATTGATGTGGGTGAATTTAATTAAGGAAATAAATATTTAATGATTAGAATATAATTTCTTTTCCTTTGAGTAAAAGTTTAGTTTCTGAAACAACTGATGTCTGCAAGCTGAGACAACTTTCTATATTTAGCCTTCTATAGCTGACTGATTTTTGTAGCCTTACATAAAGACGTTAACTAATAAGACACTGCGAGGCTCATGTGACAACTTCAGAATCTAAATTCTGAAATTAATAACATGACATTTCAGTTTTAAAGTGACATCAGTCAAAAATCTATACCGAATATCTCTTCTCTTTTACTGGTAATTTAGGCGCAGTTAACAATGAAATTAAAATTATCATTCTAGGCTACTGTAAGTTATAACAGGAAGTAAATCAAGCAAACTATCTGAAAATTTTTGACATTTTTCACTGAGACAAACTTCATTCATTAATAAAAAATTACTAACAGGTTGAACAACACCGGAGATGTGTTGCTGAAACACATTCATCCCAAAATTTGAGTTCCACTTGAGTTACATTTTTACTCTGAACTTTGAAAGCAGCGCTGTATGACCCTTGTGGGTTTAGCGCTTAGTTTTGATTATTATAATAATAATAACGAACTTTGAAAATAGTTGCAACAATGCCTTATATTGCAACAAACTTCATGGAAAAGTGTAAACACGTCAGCCATGTTTGTCACCTATGTGCAACATTTTGTGTCCTGATAGGTGGACTAATTCACAAGAAGACTCTGATAAAGTGAAGATAACTCTCTTTTCGCAACTAACAAAATCCAGCCAACTATTTTCTTTTGAGATATCCCACAAGGTAAGTTCCTTGATACAAGGAGGTGCACCTACTCTCCCCTTTCTTGGCTCGAACTTGGAACCTACCATTGCCTCCAAGTGACCCCTACGGAGTTGCGCTTTCCCTTACATATAATAGCTAAATTAATTTCTGTCACTGAGCGAGCCGATAAAGGCATCCCCGTATTTCATAACCCCAGCCCCCTCAAGCTCAGTGCACACGACTGGAACAGTTAAATTTTAGCATTGAATACAGTGAATCAGAAGAGGCATGCACAAGTCGTCACGAGGAAACTAATATCTAAAGGGCTTCAATAAAATGGTAAATTAGGATATTACACAGAATAAATGTAATTCCAAAGATTCAAAAAAAACAAAAGAAAGAATATCCTAAAATACACAAGCACATTAAGCTTGATGCCGCTCAAAAGTTGCATTATTATGTTGCATCTGTTGAGCTTCAGCCGAAGGGATGTCCTACCCTACCCTTCAAGCCGGTAAACCAGCAATCCAGGGTAGTAACGTCACGTCCATCAAGCCACCTCGGTGGACAAAAGAAAAGGCAGCTGGAAACCTGCCACAAGACACACCTCCTTCAGCCACCACCTCCCGGAACCTATAGGTAGCCTTCAGAAATACACCCATCACATGAAGGACACTGTAAGCAACTACTTCCCTGGAACTCGGGGATCGGGACATCCCCAGATGATCCAGTTTCCACGGCAAACAACACCAGCATCAAGGACCTCATCGGAATGTGACGGATAACGACTGTTTCCCTAACGTAGGAGCGAGAATTTCAGAGGTAAAGACCCCAAAGGCCAAACACAGGAAAGAATGGAGAGGGGAGGGATGGGAAAGGAAAATGATGAGAAAGGAGGGATGGGAAAGATGGAGTAGGAAATGGAGGAATGGGGGAGGGTGTAATTAGATTCGGTCGGTGGAAGACTGAAAGGTCCAATTCCTCAGACAAAAAGCCTCTTCGCCTCGTCAAGGAGCCCCCTTGAAGAGGTTTATTTGTCATAGAAATATCTGAAACTTTAATAGCGGAAATAAATGAATTCCTTGTGTGAAAAGCTGTGGATTTGTCTACATTTAAAACACGGAAAACAATTTAATGGTGGCCATCATGTATTTCAAGGCTATCTTGGACGAGCCTTCTGGATAACGTTTACTGTTTTCTTAAGGCTGCCATTCCAGGCGAATCTTGGAAAAGTAAGCTTGTTAGGAGTTTTTTCCCGGTCAAACCTAATGTTGTTGGTCTAATTACTCTAGTACCTTGTTAATATAGGACGCGGTGCTGCTGTCCTAGACTGATTCTTTCCTACTGAAAGGTTTGTTTAATTTTTTTTTATATATCCTTACACATCTCTGGTAGTGAGTCAGCGCATAAACAACATATGTACATGTACCTATGCTACTTATGCACACATACATATCCATATAAGTACATATGCAAAATCGTACATCTACAAATGCAAACATAAAACACCTACATATGAATATACATACATGTGCGCACATACATGCACAAATATATGCATTATATACGAAGACGTATACATATTTTTATTTTCTGCTTTAGATTTTTATGACCAGACTGCACTATTCCTTTCGCGTGTATTGAAGTAGAGGGGGCTGGGTTTATGAGATACGGGGATACCTTTTCGCGTAACGCGAAGCGATCATTAATTCTCTTCCCCAAGGATGCGACCACACAACTGTCCGCTAATATCCAGGTGCCTACTTACTGCTGGGTGAACAGGGGCAGGAAGCGAACCTCTTTCCCTCAGTGTGTGAGCTGAGCTCACTACCATTGAGCCGAAAGAGACAGCTGGAAACCATATTACGGATTTTCCGGTGTTACTCTGGCAAACTTTATCAAAGGAACAATTTTCAAATGGCTTAAAAACTATTTACAATAATTGATTCTGTTATGCTTCTGGCAGCTTAACCAATTTACACGCTAAAATAATTTACATCTTGCTGTTGTAATATAAATGTTGTTTTTAAATTATCCCTAGACACGACTCATCCATATTTTGTCATCATTAAAATAAAATAATATAAGGAGTAATTTTATTCTGCTGTACACAGAGTAAGGTTTACCCTAGCAAAAATAAGATCAACTTGTGTGAGTGTGAGTGTGTAGTGGTTGCCAAGTTGGTGTGAGAGAGGGAGGGAGGCCGGGCAAGTGGTCAGTGTTACGAAGGACAAGTAGGAGTGTACACTCCCTCGCCTCCGCCACACTGCTGACATACGTGTGATAGATTTAGAGGCTGATTCCGCCTTCGTATCCCAGCCTGAGATCAGATCTCTTTGTGGACTGAGCATTTAGACTATTGCAGGCCTACATAGTCATCACAAACTGGTAGGTCAAACATTAAATGAACTATACATCAACATGATTTATATTGGACCAGGACAGAGGTAACATCGGAGTTACATTACCAGTGCTATGAAAGCTTTGAGTTATATCATGTCGATGTAAGTGGTGTCATTATATTGGATTACATAAACTTGTGCATAAATACTTGTAAATCTATTAGAAATAATATAGCTGAAACAACGTAACGAACTGAAATAACTCGAAACTATTTCTTAATGTCCAACCATTAAATTGGGAAAATTACATTAAGCATAAATCACGGGAAAAAAGAAGTAGTTTACACTCCAGAAATGTGAAACATTCAATTTTCGTCTCTTAAAATCTTAAATAAGACAACTGATTGTTAGTGTAGTGTCACATTGTTATATGTAGTTCAGGTTATCACCGGCTACCTCACTCACAATAATATATACATTAATCTGTATCATTTAATATCAAACCCGATTAGAAAAATGAGCTTGAGAAGGTCGTATGTCAACTGGAGATATTGAGTCTTCAAATAATAAATAATAATAATAATAATAATAATAATAATAATAATTAATAATAATAATAATAATAATGATGATATTTCAGCATGATACAATGTTTGTACAAAGGAGAATGACCTTTGGGTGTACCTGCCAAAAACCCCGTTATACATAAGAACATAAGAAAGGAGGAACACTGCAGCAGGCCCGCTGGCCCATACTAGGCAGGTCCTTTACAATTCATCCCACTAACAAAACATTTGCCCAACCCAATTTTCAATGCCACCCAAGAAACAAGCTCCGATGTGCAAGTCCCACTCAAATCCAACCCCTCCCACTCATGTACTTATCCAACCTAAATTTGAAACCACCCAAAGTCCTAGCCTCAAGTTCTGGCAAACTTAAGACCAACTGAAGATTAATAAGGCAATAACTATATGAATAATTTTGCACAAAGTCACTTAGGTGAATGTAAGTGTAAATTTAGGAATTTACAACCATGCTTAAGGACTTATGTTTTATGAAACAATGAGTTGTCTTGAGGGAGTTGATTTCCACATGATAGAAGAGAATGTGTAAATTATTGTCAGACATTATTGGTGAGACCAAGTACTGGCTTCCACAACTTTAAACTTAAAGTTTCCTAAGCCATTTGGTGGCTTAGAAATCTCAGTTCACTAGCCATTATTACAGGTAGCCTAAGGATATCGGATTACCGATGCGGATTTAGCGCTTCTTCATAAAAAGTATCAATTTAGAATTCAGGAGAAACGTTGGTGTAATTATGAAACAATGGTACATTAATAATTATGTTACATTAATAATTATGGTACATTAATAATTATGGTACATTAATAATTATAGTACATTAATAATTATAGTACATTAATAATTATGGTACATTAATAATTATGGTACATTAATAATTATGGTACATTAATAATTATGGTACATTAATAATTATGGTACATTAATAATTATGGTACATTAATAATTATGGTACATTAATAATTATGGTACATTAATAATTATGGTACATTAATAATTATGGTACATTAATAATTATGGTACAACAATAGGTAGTAGATTGGTAGACAGCAACCACCCAGGGAGGTACTACTGTCTTGTGGTATTAGGGTGGTAGACAGCAACCACCCAGGGAGGTACTACCGTCCAGTGGTAACAGGTTGGTAGACAGCAACCATTCAGGGAGGTACTACCGTTCTGTGGTAGTAGGTTGGTAGACAGCAACCACTCAGGGAGGTACTACTGTCTTGTGGTATTAGGTTGGCAGACAGCAACCACCCAGGGAAGTACTACTGTCTTGCAGTATTAGGGTGGTAGACAGCAACCACCCAGGGAGGTACTACTGTCTTGTGGTAGTAGGGTGGTAGACAGCAACCACCCAGGGAGGTACTACTGTCTTGTAGTAGTAGGATAGTAGACAGCAACCAACCAGGTAGGTACTACCGTCCTGTGGTAGTAGGATGGAAGACAGAAACCATCCAGGGAGGTACTACCGTCCTGTGGTAGTAGGCTGGTAGACAGCAACCACCAAGGGAGGTACTACCGTCCTGTGGTAGTAGGCTGGTAGACAGCAACCACCCAGGGAGGTACTACCGTCCTACCAAGTGAGTGTAAAACGGAAGCCTGTAATTGTTTTAAATGATGGTAGGATTGCTGGTGTCTTTTTTCTGTCTCATAAACATGCAAGATTTAAGGTACGTCTTGCTACTTCTACTTACACTTAGGTTACACTACACATGCATGTACAAGTATACATATATATACATACCTCTGTTTTCTTACTAGTTCTGTTCTTGTTAATTTCCACTTATCTCCATGGGGAAGTGGAACAGAATTCTTCCTCCGTAAGCCATGCGTGTTGTAAGAGGCGACTAAAACGCCGGGAGCAAGGGGCTAGTAACCCCTTCTCCTGTATATATTACTAAATTTAAAAGGAGAAACTTTCGTTTTTCCTTTTGGGTCACCCTGCCTCGGTGGGATACGGCCGGTTTGAGGAAAGAATAATTATGGTACAAAAATAATGGTACAATAATTATGGTACAACACCCCTCAAGGGACGCTACGCTGGTGAGGTGCTCTTGATCTAGGGAATTGGATCTGTGCTCCAGTTTCCTGAATTAAGCCTGAATACCTTCCAACTCCCCCAGGCGCTGTATAATCCTACCGGTTTAGCGCTTCCCCATGATTATAATAATATGGTACAACAATAATGATACATCAATTATTATGTTGCAATAATAATTATGGCTTCTAGGTCCGTGGTAGAGAGTTCAGCTGTCAACCACAAAGACCTGTTTTCGATACCCGGGTAAGTACTGACACACCTGCTGTCTCCAGAACTTCGCTTAACTGTAAATATCCCTCAAAGAAAGTAAGTGTTTTGATGCCGGAAAGGAGCTCTTCGTGCGAGGAACTGAACTTGATCTTTCTTTCCTTGTGGGGTTAAGCTTATCTCTGTATACAACAGTATAACTGTTTATGAATGCTAGGAGTGCAACGGACAAGTGAAGTAATAGCAGCAGCAATACACACAGCAAGAGGCATTCTTAAGCTTCCCCAGTGCTCGGGCTTAATGCCCAAAGCTGGGGTGTGGCTCCAAAAGGATCCTGTAGAGTTTGCTGCCTTTGCACCTCCTGATATCGTCTGCTGCTATGCAGCTGCCACACCCTTTGAGCCCAGTGTGGATAGGGTCTGTGGCAGCCGAAGGTGCCTAGCTTCTCTCTCCGAGCCCCGTGGGAGCAGGGAATGGGGCTAGGCCTGGAGACAGCTGGTCCCATAAGACGAGGTACTTGTACCTTCTACCAAGGCAGACATTGGTCTGAGACACTCCCACGACAGGGAGCCAAGGCCGGACCACCTCTTAGAAAAGGCCTGGGCCAGCGATTATGGCGGCGAATCTACAACACAACATTATGAACGCTTACGATGTCGACTGTTGTGGATGGCATCCTAGGGGAAGCCATGATAACATCAAGGTATTTAAGCCCCACTGCTTGGCTTTCATGGATTATCCTGGGTTAATAAACAGTACAAGATCATCTTGGATTACTCTTGCTGTCTCCGGCAAGGACAGGGATAAATTTCGTGGCTGACAGCGGAAGGTTAAATATCATAAAATTAAGATATTCTTTCAGTATTAAAGTCTGGTGGAACTGATCGTTGTGTTTGGAAGGTGGAGCAGGAATGACCAGCAGATATAGTTCCCGTTATATTGACACATCCTCTTTACTCCCACTTTCCCGTCATGCCCACCGTCACCCGTGCATACCCACTCACCCTGCCCACTACAACCTATCATTACACACTACAACCCACCCGACACAATACAACCCACCCCTACATAATCAAAACCATTCCTATACACTCCTGCTTATCACTATCCAGATCAACTCCCCAAAGAAATGCCAGAACTATTTTTTCATCTTGAACCCCGGAATCACGTTTATGTATTACACCAGTACGATCCTGTATCTTATAGTGTGGTTCATAAGGTTCATATACCTTGGTTCAGAAGGTTCATATGCCTTGATTCAATAGGTTCATATGTCTTGGTTCAGTAGGTTCATATACCTTGGTTCGGAAGGTTCATATACCTTGGTTCAGAAAGTTCATATGCTTTGGCTCAGTAGGTTCGTGAACCCTGGTTCACGAACCTACTGGAAGGTTTGTATACCTTGGTTCAGAAGGTTCATATGCCTTGGCTCAGGTATATATACACCTTGGTTCAGAAGGTTTATATATCTTGGTTCAGATGGTACATATGTATCTTCATTCAGATGGTTCATATATATCTTGGTTGAGAAGGTTCATATCCTTTGGTTCAGGTATATAATCCTTGGTTCAGAACTTCCATATACCTTGGTTTGGAAGGTTTGTATACCTTGGTTCAGAAGGTTCATATGCTTTGGTTCAGATGTATATAGCTTGGTTCAGAAGGTTTATATATCTTGATTCAGATGATTCACATATATCTTGGTTCAGAAGGTTCATATATCTTGGTTCAAAAGGTTTGTGAACCTTTTTTCAGAAGGTTCATATATCTTGATTCAAAAGGTTCATGAACCTTTCTTCAGAAGGTTCATATATCTTGGTTCAAAAGGTTTGTGAACCTTTGTTCAGAAGGTTCATATATCTTGGTTCAGAAGGTTATGAACCTTTGTTCAGAAGGTTCATTTACCTTGGTTCAGGTTCATACACCTTGCCTCAGAAGCTTCATATATCTTTCCTCAGAAGGGTCGTAAACTGTAAACCTCGGCTCAAAAGGGTCATTACTTCTGCCACTTTCTGGGCAATACAAACACAGGTGTAGTCAAGTGGCCTGTACACCTGCTCGTAGAACTATAACCCAGGTAGGAATGAGGAATGCACAAAACTCACCAGTTAGTAAATACTCATATTCCTTCACCAATAAGTGCACAAGTACATGTACAATGTATGTACACAATGTACAGATTAACAAGTTTGCAAGTAAGAGACACGGTGAGA